ATTACTAAAAGGGCCACCACATTACTGCATACACGTCCTCCGAGGCTCCTTCAGCAAGCCCCTTCAGCAAAGCAGCACAAAAACCTTCAGTAAGCACGACAGCATGAAGATATAAGGCTAAGGAATGTCTGGATGGTAAAAACCGCGGTTAGACTAAAACTGCCTATGTTCCTGTTCCGTGTTACTTGTGTAGACAGAAAGAACATAGACAAATCGCCAGAGTACCAATTTCCGCTTCTGCACCGCGAACCTCTTAAGAGTTCCCCGAAGGTCGCATAAAGCCTGGCCAACAAATAAGAATTAAGAAGAGCCTTGGGGTTTGGGCTTAGGGTCTGTCCGGGGTTCTCCCTGTCAAACCTGAAAGCCTAAAGCCTCAAGCAGCAGATATATATATATAAATATATATATATATGCTTTATATATGCTGAGGATAGGTCGTGATTTGGGTTCACGGGTCCAGGATATTTCCTGCTGTGGGGCAAGCATCGAGCCTTGCTTCCGCCCCTAAGGCTTGGGGTTGTGGGGCGTAAGAGTTCGGTCGTTCATCAAGTGGCAACACTTAAGCCTGAGAGATCCTGAGAGTGCATGAGGCCTCGCGTAGAGGAAAACGAAACGATACAGCTCCTATGTGCGAAACGAATTTCCCAAACCATCGAGCCGCTGTGGTCCTGTCTACACGAGTGGGGCTGCGGATTCGGGTTCGGGTGTGCCTTTTCTCGAACTCTTTGAGGGTGGTGTGGGTTGACAGGACTCGAACAGACAAGCAGCAAACCCTGGCAGGCCTAGCAGTTCAGGGTCCAGGGCTCAGGGTTCCCAAAACCCCCACCCCAAGTCGTAGACGCATCCCGGATGCACGAGCTTCGGCTGCGACACCATGCAGCGGGTGACGAGGCCCTCAACGCCTTGGGGATTCGGCAAGTTCAGCCTTCTCTGGAGCCCCATAGACCTTGAACCCCGAAGGCCAACTTGGAGCTCCCTAAAGGGCCGAACCGCAAACGCAACATCAACATTTCCCTCAAGTGCAGGGCGCGGGATCTGACGGTTTGGCGCTTGCGGCTTGTGGGCAGCAACTCTTACTCGGAGTTGCACAGGTGTCTAAGCCCCAAACCATGCCCGGTCTAGGTGGGGTCCATTCTTTAAACCTCTGAGCACTCACAACCCGACGTCCTTAACTCGCAAAACCTCTTCTAGGCCTTAAAGTCCTGGACCCCAACCTTAGCGACAATTTCGCCTGAACCAGAGCAGCAGCCGTCAAGTCTTTTGAACTCTGCACGGTTTAGGACTCATAGGATTTAGGAACCTGGTAAATGTAAAGCACCGAAGGGTTTAAGGTATTCAGTGTAACTACAGGATCTGTACAGCTCACAGCCTGAAGCCTAAGATGATAGTTCCTCCAGCCTGGACGTCTGCCCACATCTTAGCCTCGAGTGTTCACGTATGACCAACATCGTCACCGTCAAGGCCCTGATTGGATCCCCAAACGAAAATGTCACGCATCACTACGCCAGCACCGACACCAAATAATGAAAGAGCACCCACCGTCCAAGCCCTACACACTCAAGAACCGCTCCAACAGCACCGCTGCCACAATCAGCCCATGAGTCCAAACTGCCCGCAAAACACGCAAGGCCCTGGAAATACGAGCCGCACCCAAAATACGCGGCCCTGCCGGCCCTGCCATGATTTTGGAAACTTCGAATGGGAACTGCCGCCAGGCGCCCAACTTCTGCCAACCATACAACACCCCTCAAAACGCACGGGGATTCATCAGGTACCACAGTGCCAAAGTGGTGAGTTTAGCATGAGTTCGCATCCCCGGCACATACGGCCGGCGTGGGACTGCGGCGAGAACGTGATGTTACTCGGAAATGCGCACTCCGCCACAGCCAGCAACCGAATACCTTCACTCTGAAGACAGGAAGCCTATCTGCCAGGCTGTTTAGAGAGAAAAGCCCCTAAGAGTTCTTGTAGCGTAGAGCATCACATCATCATCGGTCTATAGTCATCATCGCCATCATCAATACCAGGTCGTCAACACCATCACCATGATCAGCACAATCCCATACGCACAATCCCATACTTATACACACGACTGCGAATATTGTTCGGGCGCAGTTTTGATCCGCAAACGAGCATGCGTCCGGCGAGACGTGATGCGCTTAGAGGTGAAACTCGTGCGACTCAGTTTCCCTCAAGCGCAAAATTGCTCAGAGGAGGTCTTGGGGTTGCGCGGTTCAGGTTCTTCAAGGTAATGGGAGTTCGATTCGCGCTGATGTTGAGGGAAGCGTTGCAGGTCGATAAGAACATTCGTCGAAGATTCGCTTTATCCGCTCAGACTGCCAAAGCCGCACTGCTGCAGCTTCTTCAGAGAAGCAGCAGCTGAAATATGTCGGAGCTGGACCACGAGAGATTGCACAAAGACTTAAACACCTGAATTCGTAAAACTCTGCTCGAATTACGTCTCGCTCTCGCTCTCGCTCTCTCTCTCTCCCTCTCTCTCTCTGTCTCTCTCCTGCACAAATCTATCTCATCCGTGGAGCTTGAAGTCACAACTGACCTCTATATATGTATATATATATATATAGATATAGATAGATAGAGGTAGATCCACATGATTTTTCTTTACTCGCTCATTTACAATGTAGATACATACGATGCGCATGCACTAAAACCCAAACCAAACCACAAGGTCTCTTCAACCAAAATACGCCCCAACGCCCCTAAGATGCTCGCTTTAGTTTGTGCATGGTGCATAGAGGGACCGAAACAACCGGCGGCACGAGCCGCAGCGACACTGAGCGAGACTGAACCGAACCGCCACAAGTCGAATCCCAGCTACAAGCCACAGGACCGAAGAACGAAACGAACGAACCGACCCGCATGCGGTCAAATGACAATTTATCGCAGTTGAGCGCTTGTGAAAATGCGCTTGTAACAGACGCCCGGTTCAGGTTTTGGGGTCTTGGATGTCCGCATACGCATGTGTACATATGTAACCATACACCTGATGGAAAAATCTATGTATATAGGTATGTATGTATGTATGTATGTATCTATGTATGTATGTATGTATATACAATGTGTATGTATGTATATATATATATATATGTGAGAGAGAGAGAGGCGCCTTTAGGGTCTATTTGACGCCCTATTTTATCCTATACGACTATAATAATAATATAAATAATTGAAAAAATTGAAATAATTGAAATCAGCAGGACCGATTTCAATTATTTCAATTATTTGGGCCAACCCGAGAATCGAAATAATTGAAATAATTGAAATCGGTGGGATTTCTGGCTGAGCCACGAATCCCACCGATTTGAATTATTTAAATAATTGAAATAATTGAAATACTTGAAATCCGGCCGATTTCAAATATTTCAATTATTTCCCTGAAAAGCGGGGCGCACCTTTTGCTTTAAACCAAGAAGCCTCCGGATCAAGACGACATGTACAACAGCGTTCAGACTCCCCCTTCAGCGTCCCGCTGAAAAGAAGATATGTTGTGGCCTGATCTAACGGTTGCTATCCACAGTTTTGACTGAGAGCGCTCCACGCTCTGATACATCACTCAGCTCAAATCTTTACAAACTCAGGCTTCTTATACATCACAGAAGTTTACTTGCCTGCTGCACGGGCACCCGGAACGAGCTTTAGCTCAGTTCTGCCTTTCCACTCTCGATCTGCCAACGTCTGCGCAGGCTTGTGCAGGGTTCTGTAGTTGTCTGCAACATGCCGCGTCTCCCCATTGGCAAAGCGAGCGAACGTCTCACGTTCTCCAGTGAGCTGGTCTTGCTTGGGGCCTGAGGCGGCAGCTCCCGGAACGAACATCTGGATTCTGGGATTGGCATGCCAGCGGATCACAGCATCCTCCTTCCACTCCCAGTAGTCGCGCTTCCCGACCGCAGCTCTTGCCACATCCAAGGGCTCCGTAGGGGCAGAGACAGCGGTTCTCCGCCGAGGCATTCGCTGGGGGGCTGTAGACACCGAGGTAGAAATACCGGTGCCATAGTCGTTCTCGTCCTCCGAAGGAGTGCCCGTAGGATCATCATGTAGATCCTTGCCGCAAACAGCGTCCTTAGCACACACCGCTGCGCTCAAGCGTAGTCGTATACGCTTGCCTGATCGCAACCACGCAAACAAGCAAGAACTGGTAGTCGAACGAGTTCGGGGCCTCGTGCTCGGACGTTGACGCTCCATTCGCTTGTTCCACCAGGGAGGCCAGCCACAACAGTAGTAGTAGCTTCTTGACGGGCTCGGGTCGGGTTGCAGACGACTTGGTATCCGGGCAGCGCTTTCTCACCACTCGCATCCGTTCGGCTAGGAAACCAAAGCGGTCTGCAGACAAAGCCTTAGTCCCGAGGTCAGCTAGCATCACTCGTCCATCAACGTGATGGGCGGTCCAATCCGCCTGCTCAAGAAGCTCACGGATAAGGCTGCCCCTTATCCGCAAGTGCCGCGTCCTCCACGACCCAGCCGCCGTTCGGCACACTGCCAGCGCTGCCTGGCTGTCCGAGTGGATGGCCTTGATCACGTCATTCACCTTCGACTTGTCCTTCAGCATCACCTCCGCGATCAGGTGCTCAACTGACTTCAAACAAGTAACAAGCTCACAGATGGCCACCAGCTCGCTCTCCGCGGTGGACATCGTAACAAAGGCTTGTCTGCTGCTGGTCCATGCCACCAGCCCGCCCATCATGAAAAACATGATAGCCTGCTGGCTTCGCCCGGAGTTTGGGGCAAAGCTAGCGTCACGGAAGCCTTCGATCACCACTCCTGAAGACTGAAGACGAGTATCCGGAGTAAGCAGCGGGTCGGACGGGTAGTAGATGCCGCCTTCCGGGTAGCACTTCAAATACTTCAGCAAGTGCCCACCTCGGTAAACCGCCTCCTTGGGGTTCTTGCTGATCACATGGGACAGAAGGTTCACCGCATACAGGATCTCCGGACGACATCTCTCAGCCAACCACTGGAGTTCTCCCGCCATCGTTTGGGCTGCACGAACAAAATCAGCAGCCACTTCTGACTCCTTGATCACGAAGTCTTCAGGCGACAGCTGCACCGGGGCCGGAACGTCCTCGTAGCCAACAAGGTCCTTGTAACGGGCCAGGAGGTCCTTGGTATAGCTGTCCTGCTTGAGAATCATCCCCTGGTCCGAGCGGGCAATCTCGAAGCCATTAAAAAAGTGACCTCATCCCACTGGGGTTCTGTGCACTTCCACGTGCGGGCGATCATCTGAGCTGCCTCCTTGGCCACAAAGGGGTTCGCCTGCGATCAGTAAATCCTCCACGTAGCACACAATGGCTCCTGCTCTACGGTCTCCAACCAAAACGTACCACAGACTGCCATCTACCTCCGACTGAACAAAACGAACTTCACCTTCAGGAAGTTTGCCACGCATCTGGGCCATTGTTTTGTTTCGGTACACCTCCCAAGAACGTGGTGAAGTAACCACGCCGTAAATGCCCGCGTCACCCGCCAAATTGTCTCCCGGCAAACTCCTCCAAGTAAAAACATCTTCGGCACCTGCACCAGAGTAGGGCGATCTTCCTGGAACAGCAACGGGGCCAATAAAAAGGCCGTTCGCACATCCATCACACAGAGGGCCCAGGCTATGAGGGCCACCATGCGCAACACGACCCGAATAAGAACCCCATCTGCTCCCGCCGCATACTTCTGGTCCTTGGAGAACGTCTGACCAAGAAAGTTGCCGCAAATCACTGCCCGAGTTTTAAGGCGTCCAGTGAAGGCCTTGACCGTGTGCACAGTCTTTCCGGGAACCAAATCGAAGTCCTTGCCCTCTCTCTTCCACTGCTCCAGGGTCTCCTCCGCAAAGGGTTCCACGGCCTCATTTTCCCGAATCAGCGACTCGTACTCGGACAGCATGCTAGGCACCCACTTGCCAATCTCTTTCCTCACAACCTCGTTGGAGATCGTCTTGGTGTGAAGAGGAACCTCAGACTCCTCAGGGACCGACTCCGTCTTGAACAAGTGTTCACAGCCACCCGCACCATCCTCAGGCACAAAGTCCTTCATGATGCGCTCCAACTCCAAACGAGTGTCTACCCGCTGAGACAGTGGACCTTCATAAGGTCTTCCACACTCACCATGATGAAGGAGATCCTCTCTTTCCTCGTTCTCTTCTTGAACCAGCACCAAAGTCGAAGAACTCATCGAAGAGATCCCATCCAACCTCCAACGGAACCTCTGAGCCGACAATCTGGTACGAAGACGCGTCCAGCTCATTCATCGCCTTGAGACAGGACACTTGAGGCGGACCATACGCCCCCCAGGACTCGCGGATCCACTCATCGCTCCACTGACTCTCCTTCTCCTCATCGGCGCTGTCATCACCAATGAAGAACTCCTCGGGACCACCTTGACCTGAGACCAGTGCTGTACGACACACACACACACAACGACGGATCCACCTCGTACCCCTTGCAAGTACATCTAAAAACGACCTGACCATCTCCACCACTAACTCGATGAGATTCCAATGTCCGGTGCTCCCCCGGCTCCTGACCATCTCCGCCACAAACTCGATGAGATTCCAAGGTCTGGTGCTCCCCCGGCTCCTGACCATCTCTGCCACAAACTCGAGGAGATTCCAAGGTCTGGTGCTCCCCCGGCTCCTGATCATCTCCCCTTTTGGACGGAAAACGCGAAAAAGAAACTGGTACTTCATCTGGCCCTTCTGTCTCCACCGCCATACGCACACCTCCCCCCTCAGGTTGATCAACCTGAGTCCGAGGCAAAGGAAAGCCCAGCTGTTGTACTAGATCACGCACTTGTTGGGTACAGTTATCCACACAGCCAACCGTGTACGCTGACAGGGTAACACGACGTCCCGTCCAGGATAGAGGTTGGTGAAGACGACAAGGATCAAACTGCACAACTCGATGAAAGGTGGGGTGGGCTCGACCAGACAGCCACTTGCCACTTGCCATTGAACTTTTTCCACATAGACGTAGAAGGACTGGCGTCTTCATGGCACCACAAACTTCCACCAACATAGTTTCCAAAGCCCATCAAGTAGGCCTTTTCCCCAGCTTGGTTGTTGCCATCACGGTGTAAACGCATGGTGGTGTTGAAGTTGAGTGACATTGTAGTGAATGTAGTTCCCGAAGGCGCATTGGCTTTCACCACCTCTGCAAGGAACCGAGCCAACAAAGGATGCCGGCGAGCTCCAAGAGTGGTACCCACAACTCCACCATGACGGTACATGCCAAAGACGTGAATTGCCACCTTCTGACAGTCACCTTCATCCAGACCCGGGCGTCGATTTGGAGTGTATACATCACCCAAACGAAGGCCTTCAAGTAGTTCATCTGCAGCCCTCATTGAGAAATCCCCGGCTTCGGAGAACTCCTTTGCAAGCTTCTCATCCTGTAGAAGAGCTTCTTCCTCTTCTCCACAGGCCCTCCGAAGGCCATGATCATCATCCGCCTGCTGTAGACCTGCCACCATTGGGGTCTTCTCCCGCAATCGACGACGAGCTCCTGGTTCGGCAGCGGGCTTTGGAGGCGCATCCACGAAACTCGCCCGAAACCTCCTTGACATTCTCCACCGCGACCATGGTCGTCAGATAGGTGCCGTCATCCGCTCGAACCAGAAAGCCCCGGGCCCCGGGCCACATCCATAGAGGGGCAAAGAATCTTGGCAGCCACCACCTTCTCCATGAACTCCTCCTTCTTCATTCGCCAATGAGCGTTGCTTCACAAAGACCTTGGTCCCGAACGGTGAAGGTGGCCTCCAAGCTGCGTCACGATCTCCTGCTGGATCTTTGACACATAGTGGCGCATCGCAAAGCCCCACATTTCTGGACCCATCCCGGAACCGGCGAGGTAGGTTCGAACTGCATTCTTTGCCCGGCCCACTAGAGCCTCCACTCTGCCATTGGCCTTGAAGTCATCTCCAGGGGTGGTTGTTCGGACTACCCCCCTGTCTCGACATAGCGCTCGGAAACCTTTGCAGATGAACTCACGCCCTCGGTTGGTGTGCACTCGCTGCACCACCAGTCCCAACTTCTTCACCTGAACCAGGATGTCCTTGGTAGCAGCTAGCACCTCGGCGGCCGTTTTGGAAGCCATGGTAACCACAAAGGGAACTTCCACGCAAGCCACTCCATCCAGCTTGTCCTCGTCCACGCGGGCTTGCCACCTTTCCATCTCTCGCTTGCTGCGCTCTTCCTCCACTGGGGCGGCAAGCCCCACCTCTTCATCGGCCCCGCACCCGTCCTCGCAAACAGGATCGGACTCATCCATAGGACCAATACCTCCTCCATTGTCCGTTCCAGGATCGGGAGGCTGAAGTAGCTTCCCCAACACATGGGGGACCACCAATGTTCCAATCAGCGCATACCGAATCTTCTTCACATACTCGTCGCAGCCATTTCGGGTTGGTCCAACCACATCCAAACTGAGGCACCATGGTTTGGGACGATGAGCGTGTCCACGAAAAGAACCTGCCAAACAAGCTCGACAATCACGCCGAAACGGGGTGTGATCCCGTCGAAGGTGTTCGAGGAAGGTGTGGTCCATCTTCATCACAGACTCAAGCACTGAACCACCCAAGCATCCTTCCACAACCCACTTCACAGCTTGCGTTAGCCGCTAGCCCTGGAGCCCAAGCCGCCCAAGTAGACGACCTAAAGCCCGACCCAGCATGATCTCTCTCCTCCTCCGTGAGGGTGGAAGATCCACGAACTCCACAGCTCCCGCGGGCACTTTTGAGAAGCCATGACCCTGGTAGGCTTCCGGCGCGGATGTCCCAGGGGCCCTTGGTCAAACTCCCAGAAACTCCAACCCATCTACCGCGCCAAGAACTCAATCTCAGGGAAGGCCCACAACGAAGCATAGTCCGGTTGACCTAGAACGATCTTGGGGTCTTCAGGGTGCTCCAGCAGGAAATCCGGATCACGATCACCATTCAGCCTGGCCACAGCTGCTGCAACCATCCACAGAAACAACATGCGAAAGATCATGATCACATCCTGCCGAATTCTCCACTCCTCCCAGTCCGAAAGACCACTTCGACCCCAGCGGCCATCACCCTCTCTGTCACGGAGCGGCCTTGGAGCATCTTGTCCCTCTGTAACCAAGTTCCTCAGTGCCGAGAAAGTTCGACATGGAGGGCCTCCAAACACCATCTTGATCTTGCCCGTCAGCGCCAAATCGAGCAGCGCCGCGTACGTGCCATCTGCCATGAGGTCCTCCGCTTGGTCCACCAAAACCACATGCACCGCCTCCGCGCGGGCAGCCCAGGCAGCTCTATCCTTTCCACAGAAGAGATGCACCGCCACAGCCGAGGCCTGCTTCCACCGCTTTCTCTCGTGACGGTTCCAAGGCACCTTGTCTCCCTCCACCGCAGCTTGAGTAGGCACAGCTGACACAAGCCATGCTGGGGCTTCCGGGAAAAGCCTGATGAAGCCAAGCCCACGAAAAACCCACGCCGTTGCGAAGGTCCTTCACCGCCTTCTTGCCCAACTCCCAGTCCAACACAGGAGCTCAGGAGCCCTTCCACAGACTTCCACCAGTCTATTCACCGCAATCTCAGCTTCCCGACGCCGCTCCTTCACCTCCTCAGCTTCCTGAATGAGCTCCAGCCCAAGACCTTCACTGATCTCAGGGCAGCCATTGACAACTCGAACTCGTAGAGGTCCTCGAGAGGGGTGCGTGATCTGGCGACCCACATCACCATTCCACAACACCCTGCAGCCAATTTCCAGCAAGTCACTCATCGCCACGATCGGCGCAGTCCTTCTCGTAGTGAGCAGCGTTCCTCCTGGCATCTGGAAAAACCAAGTTTCGCCCTCCGCCAACAACACCTTCCGCCTTGGAAGGGCCTCTGTCTCTCGGGGCGACGCCGTCCTCATCGAAGTCGTAGCGCCTGAGTCCACCAAGGCCCTCCCGCCAGAAGAGGTCCGAGGTCGCAACGGCCTCCTCAGTGACTTTAGCCAATCTCAACGACTTCAGGGTCCTCAAAGAACTCCGTCTGAGCCGTGGAATCCTCTTGAGAGCCAGTCGTAGAGGAAGAGGTAGCATTGGGGGCTCCATCGGTTGTGGTCTCCTCTTCCGCCTTTCGAACCGCCTCTTGCTTCCTCCTTTGTCCTTTCCACCTCCTTTTTCCGATGCGGGGGCTTCGGAGGCTTGTCCTCTCCCCCTCCAGTAGACGAAGACGTAGTAGCCGCCGAAGATGACGCAGCTGCTGCAGCTCCACCGCTGCCACCTCCCTTTCCAGAAGACGACGAATTTTGATTCTGGCCACCACCACCACCAGAAGCATTCCCCCCTTGACCGAGGATCGGGCACTGCGGCTTCAGGTGGCTATCCGAACCACATTCCCAGCAGCGGCCCGGACCCAAAGCAGCATGAGCAAACATACAGCGTCCCGAACCATCCTGCCAACTCCAACACGGCCTCTGCTGCTTTGCTTTGCCCTTGCCCTTGCCAGCCTCGTCACCGTACTTGGCCTCCTCCATGCGGGCAATCTTGGGCGGAGCCGGCAGAGGCTGCGCCAACAAAGCAGCTTCCAGCTCCCCAACAACCAAGTAAGCATAATCTTCTGCGTCCAGAAGGGTAACTTTGTAGTCCAACTGGCGCTCCAGCTTAAACGAAGCAATCCTGAAGGATGCCGCGGGATGCTTGTTGCCTGAAAAGGTGGAGCTGATAACGCGATCCAGCCCGCGGCACAGCAAAGAAGGATCGGGAAGCACTAGTTGAAGTTCGCGGCCACGACGAAGTAGGCGCACCCATTTCCTCGCCAACTGAAGGGTTCCATCCAAACCGCTGCCCACCTCTGGCGCCGTCAAGAACTGCAAAAGATGAGCTTTTTCACCAGCCCCACCCGGCTGGAAAGCACAATGCACGAGGAAAATCATCGCCTCCACTGTCACCGCCCTCACCGACACCACTTCATGGCGTAGTTCTTCCGGTAGGCTTTCCAGAAGTAACACTGCCGCTCGCTGCTCCACCCGTTGTTGTCTCTCCTCAGCCCACCTCTGACTCAAGACAGACTGCCTCAAGGAAAGCCTGCCCACAGGTGCACTCTCCAGCCACGTAGTGTAGAGCCCCTTGACCCTATCCATAAGCTGCCTCCACCACACCGCTGCACTTGAGCTCAGCGACGACATCGAAGGCTCAAGCTGAGCCAGGCGGTCCCCCGCAACAACGGCGGCGTCTCCGCCTCTTGCGCTTGCCAGCACCGGTAACTTGGTCACCAACTTGGAAGGCTCCTCACTCTGACCTAGTTCCACCGCTGAAGCTGCCGAACAAGTAGGTGGAGGCGAGGGAGCACTTGATTCAGAACTCCAAGGTGGCACCACCACCCAAGGCGTGCTTGGAGGCGGAGGTACTGGAGGAGGAGGTGGGGTCCCACTTCGTCCACACGCAGCTGGAACCGGAAAAGGATGACCTCCTCCTGACCCCAACTGAACCACCACCTGACCTTGCACCATCGTATACGGATGCCACACACCTTGAACACAAACCAGGCCTTGCGTGGGAGCTCCTGGCCCATTCCTGGACAACCCTGGCACGTATATTTAACATACCACCACTCCCCCGGTACGTAAACTAAAGCGTTTAAAAACAACTAACATATCAGCCCCTCCCCGGTACGTTAGTATTGGTTTGGTTTGGGCTTTAGGTGTTTGGGTTAAACATAATTGGCATGTGCAGACCACTACAACCAACACTAGTCATCAAGAACGATTCCACAGGCTTGACACACTTTTTGATCGGGCCGGCAGGGCTCTCATCGCTTCAGCTTCTTTAGCTGTTGATCCTGACGTTCCTTCTGCCAAGAAAGAACTCTTTTCAAGGAATATCTCTTGGAAAATTTCAACAGCAGCGTGTTGGGATGAAGCCTCGATGCCACAGCCGCCAGAAATTTCATATGGTCTTCGTCCAAGAAGCAGGACCTGGCCGAAGGATTCCAGCCGGTGAGGTTCACCCAATCGGCCAAGTGACGGGAATAATGGTGTTTCGGCCTGACTTTGTATGCGTCCTTCCCGAAGAGCTCGAGCTGCAAGCTTTTGATAGCTGCCGAGATGCAGTCTCAGCATAAGGTAGCTTTCATGTTTTTGGGCAGCTGTCAGAAAAGGACCTTGGATATAGTCAAGCAAAACACAACCGACGAATAGTAACCATCGACCAAGCAAATTCTGCCCAAGCAATATCGACTGACGACATTGGCCAAGCAAGTAATCAACCATCGACCAAGCCAAGTTCCGACCAAGCAAGAATCGTCGACCAAGCAAGCACCCGACAACATGATAAATGCATTCACCAAGCACGGCAAGTTCCGACCAAGCAAGAATCGTCGACCAAGCAAGCACCCGACAACATGATAAATGCATTCACCAAGCACGGCAAGTTCCGACCAAGCAAGATTCGTCGACCAAGCAAGCACCCGACAACATGATGAATGCACTCACCAAGCACGGCAAGTTCCGACCAAGCAACATCGACCAAGCAAGCATCGACCAAGCACGATCAAGCCATCAAGCTCACATGAAGCAGAAGCTCATCAAGCGACAAATAAGACTGCCAAGGTGCGAGCACCCTGCAACCACAACTGCATGGCGGTAGCAAGCGACCATGTCATGGTGGCTCGCATCTGCTTCCAGAAGAAGTCTTCGTCCGAGCAGTCGTCCAGCTGAGACTCCTCCGAGGGTTCATGTGGGGTGTTTATTGATGTGGAATGCGTCGTTCAATAGTTTTCTGAAGTGCAGACAGGTTTCCATCCGGCAGGCAACAAAAGCAATGTATTGCAAAAGCACTTTCACCCTCGCTGCTTTGATGCGAGAGGTTAGTTCGGGGTCGCCGACAACAATATCACCTGTTTTCGACGGCGATCCCAAGCTCGAGCGTGTCAATGGCTTGATGCTCAAGTCCTGCTTGTGCAGCCGAGCCCATTCAATAGCATTGAATGTAAAGCCATGGAGAACTTCGTCAGCATCCGTTGATGGATGAAAGCCGTAGAACCTGTTTCAAGGTATCCATGATCGACATCATCAACGTCCAATCAAGCGTGACATAAACAACCAAACCGACCAACAAGAAGCAAGGCGAAACTGGTGATACATGAAGCCCAACAGGCCTGTGCAATTGTTTGGACTGCAACCAATCGACCAGGATGCTGGCAATGATGTCTCGCATGATCCCCAAGTTGAGGATGTGCATGCTGTCGAGATACAATCTGGTCCGATCGTATCCCTCAACGTGTTTCCAATGCGACTTGTCTGCCTCGTCAGCAATGCCACCGTCGCCGAATCGTCGCCAGGCGGCGTTGTCGTTTAAGTCGCCGTATGAGAGTCCAGGGTTCCGTTGAGCCAAGCAGAGATCGCACATAAGCTTGCATCCTTAGATAGGACATATGTTGCACAGCTGGCCGAACGGAAGGGTGGCATATTTAGCAGTATATATAACACGTTCAGACCGGAAACGAAAAATGTTTCCCAAGCAAGGCTTAAAGAGGTTTAGGAGTTCGGGTTTAATTAAGATGTTTTAAGGGGGCTTAGGACTTTGGAATTTATTGGGGCTTAAGTGGGTTTTTAGGATTTAGGGTTTACGGGAGGTTTGGGGCTTTGGGGTTTTAAGGGTGTTAAGGATTTGGGATTAACTGTTGCGTGTCAGTGTCGGTAATGTCTGGCATCCAAACAATGTGCCCAAACCCTTGCTTCCATATCACCCTGCCAACAGGAGAATCGACCAAAGTATGGGCCTGCAATTGGAGTACCGGCAATTTTCGCTGCACGGGTGCCGGGAGGCCACGGTTTTCCCAGGCGGTTGACCTCCGGGTGTGTGCCACGTGCCAATGCATCCAAATTCCATTTCAACACAGAGACGACAGCAGACCTTGTCTGCGGCAGCACACGTGAAGAGGGCAGGTCTACAATACAATTACGACTCATCCATGCCCCACGAGAGGAAAGCGATGCCCAGCTCCAGAATGTATAAGACTCTTCCTTGAAACTGGGAACACTATCCTCGTGGAAAAAAAGCGGTATGCAATGCTGCAAGTCAGCAGAGGAGATGCCGGTGCGGTTCAGCCAATCCTGATCTTCGGATTGCCAATATGAGAGCAGGCTCGGCTTGCCAGAATCCCCAAAGATGCATAGACCGAAAGCATCCGTCGCGTACATGTGGCCGAGAAGATCAGTCGGAAGCAAAATCCCGACTTTCTCGTCCACAACTTGTCTGCAGAGCGACGTTTTATCAAAGGGATATTGACTTCGTAAGGCTCCCAAGGAAGCCTCACCCCTCTGAAAAGGTCTCTGTCCCTGGAAGACTTCGCCAACTTTCTGGCAGAGGTTTTGCGAACACCGTCTTTGACAAACGCAGCAGTGATTGCAGCGGCACGAGCTACAGACATAACCTTATTGCACAGCGGCAAACTGAATTGTTCTCATACGACAAGTTGATTTCAAACACGAGCAACCTTCGTGAGCAGACGAGAGGCACCGCCACCCACCTCTTCAGCCAGAAGTCTGGCACCATGACTGTCCATATCAGCAGCATTCCTTGGCCATCGTAGGTTGTGGGCACGTCTTGAGAACGTGTGTAGGACAACAGAGATTGAGAGAGAGAGAGAGAGAGAGAGAGAGAGAGAGAGGGGCGTAGTTGATGGGGCCATGGAGGGAGCAGCTGTCTGTGGAACCATTGGTTGTGCAGGAACCGGAGCTGGAGCAGGCGTGGCTGCGGTTGTGCAGGAGCAGGAACCGGAGCTGGCAACTCAGGAGCAAGCGTGCTTGCTGGGGCAACCGAGGGAGCAGCTGTCTGTGCAACCGTGGGCTGTGCAGGAGCCGGAGCTGCCGGAGCAACCGAGGGAGCAGCTGCCTGTGCAATCGTTACCTGTGCAGGAACTGGGCCCGGCATCTCAGGAGCAGGCGTGGTTGCTGGGGTCATCGAGGGAGCAGCTGTCTGTGGAACCGTCGGTTGTGGTTGTGCAGGAACTGGAGCTCAGCTGCAGCCGTGCTTGCTGGGGCCATGGAGGGAGCAGCTGTCAGTGGAGCCGTCGGTGATGCAGGCACCGGGGCTGGCACGGCATGAGCAGGCGTGGTTGTTTGGACAACTCCGGAAGCAGCTGTGTGCTGAACCATCGGCAATGCAGGGGCTGGCAGCGAAGCTACTGCTGGATCGGGAATAGCAGCAAGCACCGGCGGGGCAGAGGCGACTGCCGGCGATGCATCTGGAACAGGCGGTGGCTCCCTCACCTCATGCATGACAGCGACATGGTAGGGATAAGTGACAGCAGGCACCGAGATTGCAGGCACCACTGGGCTGCCATGTTGGGTGGCATCAGCGATCGGCTCAGCAGCGACAGGAGTGCTCGGAGACACCGTCCCAGCAAAGTCGGTATCCAGGGATTGCCAAATCGATCCCTTCTTCATCCATCGCCGGACGGATAGTCCGGGTTTCGATGGAGGTCGTCACCGTTGTCATAGAGAGTGGCACCGGGCCTCGGACAGATCATGGTGGAGAGGGCAGAACAGAGTTCAGCAGTGTAGTTTAGGGTTCAGGGTTTAGGGCATAGGGTTTAGGTATATAAACATAGGATCCGAGAGACACTTCGGGGGCGAC